GGCAGGGCTTCTCTGTGTGGGGTGCCTGAGTTTCAGGTGAAGACATGCCATTGGTTTCCTGCCCGTGGTTTCAAAGAGGAGAGCTCTTGGGTCCCACCAGGGTGGTGGGATTTGCCACTGGCCAGAGCTGCCGCCCGTCCTCCCACAAGCTACCCAGGGCATCAGAGATTTGACTCCAACACCCCATCAGAGATCCGTGTTCACTGGGACCTAAAGATGGTCCTGCATGTTCAGTCCCAATAGGCCAGTCAAGGGCTTCACTATGGTTACGATTGTGACAGCCCTAGGATTGGTTGCCATGACAACAGGGACGGCTCCCAGCCTCTAGCCAGTGGAGAGGGAGATGCCCGGAGACATGGGCGGTAGTAATTATTCCACTGCACAACTGGAGACTCCATCTGGGCCTCGTCCACACCCCCTTTCCTTGGTGGGGGATTCATGGATGGAGGAGAACACAGGCTCAGCCTCACCTCAGCTGCAGGCCGCAGTGATCTGCAGAGATGCCAGGGACTGCAAATCCAGGCTGGAGGTCTGGGCCCCCTGGCCGAGCAGGAGCAGCCAGAGCTGGGCACTAGTTGATGCTCATTTCCTCCCCCTGCATCTGTGAAGTGCAGGGGGCAGGGAGGGAGGGAGGCCTGGACTGAAGGCCCTTGTGACTCCTTTGGGTCCTGGATCCTCCCAGGGTTGGAGGATCACCCTGGCTGGCTTCCTCCCGGAGTCCACTGAGAATCTGTCTTCCTTTAGGACCACACACACAAGGGCGAGGAAAGGAGAACCAAAGACAAATGTTTCCAAAGGCTGAATCTGAAGGAATCAACTTCATGAAATCTGGCCAGCGTGTGTTGCAAGTTAGTGGGGTTAGGGACTTTTTTTCCCTCTCTGGCAAAGCCAAAACACACTAGGGAAGAAGTTCTGGAGGAGGAAGGGTGGGGGTAGGGAGAATTTTGCTCCCAGAGGGTGTTTGGCGGGGTCTGGAGACACTTTGGGGAGAAGGATGGAGGCCAAGCGGGCTGATAAATGTCCTATGAGCCATAGAACGGCTTCCACAACAAAGAACTCTCTGACCTCAAGTGTCCATGGTGTGGAGGTTGGGAAACCCAGTCCTGGAGCCACCAGCCAGAGGCCTGGTCCTACTTAGTGACCGGGCGGTTTTCCCATGTGGCCAGGCCTCAAGCCAGTGGTTTCAAAGAGGAGAGCTCTTGGGTCCCACCCGGGTGGTGGGATTTGCCACTGGCCAGAGCTGCCGCCCGTCCTCCTGCAAGCTACCCAGGCCATCAGAGATTTGACTCCAACACCCCGTCAGAGATCCGTGTTCACTGCGGCGAGTCTGTACCAGTGGGTGTGAGGGCCTTCTGCTCTCACCAGAAGCGTCCAGTCTAGTGGGAGCCTGGGAATAGTGACGCTCTTAGGAGGAGTCAGAATGGACCATCGGTGGATCAGAGGCCCAGAACTCCATGACTTGGGACAAATTGTTAGATCTCAGGGTCACCGTGGGCCAGGGACTGGGCAGAGCTTGGCTGGGCAGTTCAGGTAGCATGGAGCAGATCAACATGGCGGCATCTGGTTGGTCAATGGCCAATCTGGGAGTCCAGGCTATCTTTGTTTCCATGTCTGATACATTGGTATGGGTGGCTGCAGGCTGGACTTGGCCAAGAATGGAACTCAGGACTTGGATGCAGTGTCTGAGGGTGACTACTCCAGGGTCCTTTGAGAGGTCCCGTGAGAGGAAAGAACAGCCACTTCCTAATGCCTTGGCCCAGACCTAGGGGAGGGGACACATAGACCCTCATTTTGATGGGGATGTGTGAAAGGACCAGCGGCATCTCCCACTGCGCTCTACCCCAGAGGGATTGTGCAGCATGTTGGGAAGGTTAAGACCCCAGGATGAAGCCAAGTGCGCTTTCTTCTTGACCCAGGATAACCAAGGGCCCAGGGGAGCAGTGAGGAGTGAAGCAGATCAGAAATCTCCTGCTGGTGCAGATAGGAGGGCTCGGCTTAGCAGCAGGTAGCTTTCTATGGCCAGGGGATGCCTCACCTTCCCCTCGTCCCTTCCTAGGCCATCCCACCCCTCACCT